CACATTACACTTTGACTCCCGCACGGATTAACTCTGTGTGATCTATAAATTGTTGTTCCGGGTCTGTGTGTGATGTGTATATTTATAAACGCACTGACGAGGAAAATACCAAGAAAGCACAGCAGAATATCCTATTATGGGTCAATGACTTTTCTAAAAAAAAAAGCAAGAAAGAATATTGACTGCACGGTTGGTGCGGTGTCTGGGCAACTGGCTGCCGTGCAACGTGTTGCGGATTCCCGCACGGATCAAGACTTTTTGAGATCCACAAATTGTTGTTTCGGGTCTGGGTGTGATGTGTATGTGACATTGTATGTTTGTAAACGCACACACGACACAGGAGAAAATCCTTAAGTGAGACGTTTTTTTTTAACAAGAAAAAAAAAGTGTTTTCAATTTTATTTTAATAGTTAAATCTGGTTTTTCTCAATAAAATACGATTTTTGGATATACGCACATTACTGTCGGACCTTTTAGGGTTATAACTTATATGTATTTTAAATCAATTGTTAACATATAATCTAGTTATGACAATATTTTTAAAAAAACTTAATATAAACTCTATAACTATACTATAAGGTCTGTGTTCGTGTAATTGTATGCTTTAAATCCTATAAATGTGTTCCCTCCCATAGCTATTGTTAATTATAATGAATAAGATACGTAATTAATGTAATTAAAGTAAATTTTAATTGTGTAATTGGTAATATTATACAAAAGTTTTATGGCTATATTTCTCATTCAGGCTGTAAGTTAAAGGGATTTTCTTAAAAATCTAATTGCTACCAGAATTAGTTAGGTTAGGTGAGAACTGCACATAGAAATCGAATCGCCATCACAAATTAATTAATTGAACGTCTATTTTAATGAGTTAGCTGCGACATATGCAAAATTATTTAGTTGATGGAATTGAAGTCAGTATGGAATGTCATCGATAGATATGTAATAATTGAAAAAGCATAGAATTTTCCTATATTCTATCTCGCCTTTCGTCCAATAAGGAATTGTTTAGTCTCACACACTTTGACATTTTATATTTGACACATCTCAGTGATTGGACGAAATTATTCGTTTTAAATTAGCGCCATCTGGCGGGATAAAATAGTAGCTCTCGTTGTATTCTTTTAGGAAAAATATATTCGTTAGAATTTAAAACGTTTGTAGAATTAGGATATTAATTAGGGTATGGACTGGCAACTATCAGTCAAGTAAGAAAACAGTGAGAGTAGCAGTAGTAACAAATGTTTTTTTAATGGCAACTGAATATATGTTTCAAATTGGTTTATAGTGTCACACAATTTGACATAATTTATCTTTGACATCTCTAAATTATTTGTTTTAAATAAACGCCATCTGGCGAGGAAAAATCGCAGCTCCCATCGTATGCCCTTTGGGGAAAAATATTCTTTAGAATGTAAACTTATAGGATTAGGATCTTAATTAGGGTATGTACTGGCTTTTTATCAGCCAAGTGAGAAACAGTGTGAGTAGTAGTAGTAATAGTAGTTAGTAGTAGTAGTAGTAGTAGTTACTTGTTATATATATTACAAATTGGTTTATGGTGTCACACAATTTGACATCTACACTAATTGGACGAAATTATTCGTTTTAAATAAGCGCCATCTGGCGAGAGAAAACGGTAGTTCCATTTGTAAATGTGCTCTTTGAATAAAATATATAAGTATTCGTTTGAATTAAAACGTTAGTAGAATTAGGATATTAATGAGGGTATGTACTGGCTTTTATTAGCCAAGTGAGAAACAGTGAGAGTAGTATTACATGTTTATATAATATACGTTAATAAGATATATATTTATATTGTTGTTATAATTATATAGCGGCTCCGGTGCAGTTTGTCGCGGGTTCCTTCGCAACTCTTTGTATAATCTACAAATTGTTGTTACGAGTGTAGGTGTAATACTTTAAGTGTGGAAGAGCTAAGGTCTGGCACGTATGGGTCGGCTCGACCGGAGTGATACCACGGCCTCACAGAATACCGACGTGAAACAACCCACAGCGTTGTGTTTCGCCGTGTGAGTCAGGTTACCGGAGGCCCAATCCCTCCCACTCCCCTATCCCTTCCCGATCCTTATATCCCCAACCCCTATCCCCAAAAGGCCGGCAACGCACTCGTAACTCCTTTGGTGTTGCGGGTGTCCATGGGCGGCGCCGTCGGTTGCTTACCATCAGGTAATCCGTCTGCTCGTTTGCCGACTTATAACATAGAAAAAAAAATATGTGTGTGAAATTTTGTAAACACACCTACGACACATTGAAAATTGTTTGGAGCTAGTTAGGGGGATCAAATGTCTTCTCCGAGAGCGTCTGACTCTTACTGACTAAAAACCCCCCCGTTCGTTCTCCTGCTCCGAGCTGGAGCCGCGAGATGACTGTTCTTCCTCAAGGAAACAGTAGGGATACTTGACGAAGTAATGTAGTGTAGTGATATCTTATATCTTGAAATGTAATCAACTTAACTATATAATTAAATTATGTAATTTGTATACGCTCTCTTCAACATAAGTTTATAGAAAACTTTTATTGGCGGTTAAACAAGCGTTTTATAATAAGCTATACTAGCTATGTTATATGAATGTGTTTGATTAGAAACTGTCCTAAGACATACAATAACGATTTAAGTGGATTAACCGAGAAAAACTCTACTGGTTTTAATACACAAATAAGTGTGGGAGAGCCATGCTTCAGCACGAATGTGTCGGCTCGACCGAAGTGATACCACGGCCTCACAGAAAACCGGCGTGAAACAACAACAGCGTTGTGTTTCGCCGTGTGAGTGAGGTTACCGGAGGCCCAATACTTCCACTCCCCCAATCCCTCCTCAATCTCCAAATCCCTAATCCCTAAAAGGTCGGCAACGCACTCGTAACTCCTCCGTTGCGGGTGTCCATGGGCGGCGCTGATTGCTTACCATCAGGTAATCCGCCTGCTCGTTTGCCGACCTATTACTTAAGAAAATAAGAAAGAAAACAACGGGACTCTGATTTCGTTCTGTATGGCTGCATGACGACGACGCAACTCGCACGCTGCTCATAAGAGTCCCGGTGTAACTCGAAACTAGTCAAGCTTTTCTCGGTTGATTCACGTGAGTCGTTATTTTCAAAGATATATAAAATATATTAATGTTGTATACGAATGTTGTTCTTATTAAATATGATAACTAAATGTCCCATTAATATATAGGTTAGGTTAGGTTAGTCATTAATTGACAGTATTATTTATATAATTATATCAATGTTAGCATATAATAATGTCATGTAACGCTGACTATCTTCAAGTTTATATAAAACCACTGACTAATTAAAATAAGGTTGATGGTTTTTTTTTAATAATATTAATAATTATAAAGTACTTGGTTTCTGATATCTTTTTCTTAAACTAAGTGACGAATTGAGTACATTTTTAATTTTGATACCCAGTCATCCTTATTATAAAAGCTTGAAGTTAGTAGCAAGTACAATAAAAACTATATAAAAATTCAGTGTATTAGATTTAATAATAATATGTATGTAGTACATTAATTGTATGTCAAAAACACATTTTTTTGAGATTGTAACGTGACATTCAACCTTCGTCTAATAAGAGACTATCCAACGCAATAAGTATTGTCCATTTGGATCCAGCAGTTATTGAGAATAACGCGTTTTAACAAACAAACTCTTTAGATTTATAAAATTAGGTATGAATGAATGTTTCACTTATATCAAATTTCTATTCCGATTAATGTTTAGATCCATAAATCTATACTTAGACTTATATTATAAACGCTGTTGTGTGTAAGTACGGATGTATGTTTGTTACTCTCTCACGTAAACACTACTGAACGGATCTGAATGTAATTTGGCACAGAGATAGATTATAGTCTGTAATAACATATAGGCTAGTTTTTAATCTAGCACTGCGGAGAAACACAGTAGTCATAACTACATATGTATCTATGTATGTCTGTCGCTTTGAAATTTATGTACATGTAACAATACATATAATCTACATATCTACACAAATATAATCTCAATCTCTCAGTATCTGTATCTTATCTCAATGTTAATGTTGTAATAATAAATGTCATGTTGTACGGTCGTTTTGTTTTAAATAATTATTAAACAAATAATCATCTGATTCGGTCCAGTCGTTCTTGAGTTATGCGCGTACATACATAAATGTTGGTGGTAGGTACATTTTTTTTGAAAGTCTTTTTCGTGATCTGAAGTACTATTTAATATCATTAATTCAAAGTTATTTAATTTTTCTAGACCCTTTCATGTTTTTTACTATAACGAATAAATACTGTCTAAGTATGGGAAAACCATGCTCCAGTACGAAATTTTTTATATCCGATTATTACCATTGACTTCTTTAATTAAAAAAAAACTGACATAATCTAGTTTAAAAAATATTTCTGTACGTGTGTCGTTAAAAATGTGTTTCCGGAAGGGAACTGGGTTTCTTCGAGGCTCCGTTAAATAGGATGAGATGTAATACTCAATTGAAGTACTTAATCAATTTATTTTTAAATTTAAATAGCACTCTAAAATAGCAAAATAGTTTTGTATGAAACCTATCTGATTACTCTGAAATAAAAAACACATAACAAACTCAGAGGTCGCAGTCCCTTTTAAAGTCCATACAAATATAAAGTTCTGTATGTTAATTTAATTTTAACCTATATTATACTTTGGTTAAACAACTTCGTTTTACTAATCACCAGGTAAGATACAAGCGATATTAGATAATTGTATAGTAATTAGTTATACTTAATTATATTATAATATGATTTAAAAATCGCACGGCGAACTATGCAATTGCTACTTTATGTTTTTATCATTATATCATATGTTGCTATTCTTCCTGTTATTTTTTTTTTGTACATCATCAATACCATTAACCTGCCCTCTCCCCTCCCCTTCGCTTCTCCCACCATCTCAATTTCCACTAGTGATTTTAAGGGAGGCAAATTTATCAAATTTCTTCTCTCGTCCAGGATGAAGCGAGAGTGAGTGTCAGACTCTTACTGACCTAAAACCTCGCCATTCCTTCTCCTGCTCCAAGCCAAGGTCGCTTATTAATCCGCTTGCCCCGTATCTGCTGTTTTTTTTTTTACTTTAGATATTATTATTTTATTGATAATTATAATGTGTGTGAAATTGTATATGTTATATACTGCGAAAGTAAATCAAATAATCAGAAAGTTTAATCATAAATTTGTATCTAACACATCCGTCGTCCGTCAACAACACATCCCGTCGCTATCTTCTTTACTCGTAACTTATCTTCTACAAGTGTGAGAGAGATAGGTAGGTACATTGATTAAGATTTGGACTAGAAAAGCCCTGGTATCACTATGTAGAAAGTAAAGAGAAATGTTATATCTTCTATTCATATTATTTACTCGTTTTCGATCTTTAAGGGCTCCAAGCCGGCTCGAAACTATTCACATATCTCTGTAATATGAAATAAAGTACAATAATATTTATTGGAGTGATACCACGGCTTCTCAATACGTAAAACTAACTACGATTGTGTCCATTACACGTGTCATAGTCATAGTTAGTTTGGTCATAGTCATAGTTAGTTTGGTAAGAATATGTGGATAGAATTCCTCTTTCACAGATTAACACCCGGTTTCCGAAAGGCCGATCAATGTCATCTGATTGGTTGACTGAATTATCAACAACCAATCAGATGACTTGACAAGAGATTTGACACTTGTTTAGTCAATTTTAACATTGATCGGACTTTCGGAAACCTGGCATTAGATTGTTTAAGTTTATTACATATAAACATATATGATAATAATTTCCTCTCATTCCTCCAGGGTGCGACACTCCTAAAGCTAGTCGAGCGACTAACTTACCACATATACGCTGATCTCAACTTGGTGCGGACGTTCCTCACGACGTATCGCTCGTTCTGTTCCCCCGGAGAACTCCTGGAGCTGCTCATCGAGAGGTTCAAGATTCCGGAGCCGAGCGAGGTTTACGACACGCCTAGAACCGGTGAGTGGTGATTTATACTATGGTTTATCGATTTTGGTGATTAAGTAAAGTTAAATAATGTTGGCATGTCTTTTTTATATTAAAGAGGTCATATAAAATACATATTATAAAGATTATATAAATTCAGTTTATTAGATAACATAGATTTAGTGAAAAAAGACATGCCAAGATCGTTAACATTTATAAGATAGAATAGCTATTTACAGATAACTCGACAGCGACTTAAAAAACTTTAACTGAGTAAGGGGGCTATCTAAATATTACGTGAGATAATTAAGAGGGAGAAGGGGTCAAGTCAAATCTCATTTAATCTAACGTCGGGAAAATGGAGGCGGGGGTAGATTTCGATAAATATCACGCATTTTTTTGACTGAAACCAAAAATTTATTTCTATAATATTTTTTTCTTTTTTTAAAACGTTGCCCCACTTTAGTATTTTCTCCTGTGTCGTGGGTGCGTTTATAAACATACACTGTCACATACACATGACACCCAGACCCGAAACAACAATTTGTGGATCACACAAAGTGTTGTTCCGTGCGGGAATCGAACCCACGACAGTTGCCTAGCCACTGCACCAACCGTGCAGTCGTATTCTTTTATTACATTTATAAGTCTCAGCATTGATTACTAGACTTTACTTGTCGTAAGAGACCCAGAAAGATCCCACTGCAGGTCGGCAGATGGAGAGAGAGTAGCATAAATTTAAAAAGACATATTTAATTAATGGAAGCTCCCTAATAACAGTTTTGGATTAGGAAAAATTAATGTAATACGTGATTTCGTATTGTGTTGTATGTACATGTATGTAATAATAATAATATAACTTCATGTGACATTCGTGATATTTGCGCACGCTAGTCCCAAGGATCAAGACACCTAAAAAGGACGTCAGTCCTAACTCGTCACTGCTGGATATCGACCTGGGTAATGTATTTACTAGTAGTTATATCATTTAGGATCATTGTCCACATATAGGCAAATAATCTCAACCTGGAGTGATCATAAGTGTGATAGAGCCATGCTTCGGCACCTCATAGAAAACCGGCGTGAAACAATCACAGCGTTGTGTTTCGCCGTGGGAGTGGGGTTACCTGAGGTCCAATCCTTCTCCCCCAATCCTTAATTTTCGAAACCTTAATCCCTAAAAGGTCAGTGACGCACTCCTTCGCTGTTGCGGGTAACCATGGGTGGCGTTGATTAGTTACCATCAGGTAATCCGTTTGCTCGTATGCTGACCTATAAATTGAAAAAACGAAGATGTCTTAAAAAACCAAAAAAAATATTAGTTAGCAAAATGTTATAACTATTGTATGTATGTACCAATTACGGGACCACAGGGTTCCGGTTATTTCGAGAGACGATCTCCGGCCACCTAGAGAGCGGGTCTGGACGGCGAGTAAGGGTAGCTTGCCGCCCGACCAGAACCAGGCCCGAGCGTACGGCGCGTAGCGTTCCGCGCGCGCCTCAAACAGCCAATAGACCACCACAGACGGGGCCCTACAGGGCTATTTTCCAGCCGGGGTTGCGGGGCAAGCGCAATGTGGCATCGCGACCTCGGCCCAGATTAGAAGAAGGAATGGGGGGGGGGAGGTTAGTCAGTAAGACACTGATATTCCCTTCCGCCTGACCCTGGGCGGGAGAAGTCATTTGATGACCTCAGGGGTGGATTTCAGGGGAGAGGGATTTTGATTTCAGGGGACAACCTGATAAAAAAAAAGAGTCCTGATCATTTGGGACAAAGGGCCCTAGCCAACTACTTAGAGACCTTTTACACATCTTGAATCTAAATGAAATGATACATAAATTAATTTTATTATTATTATTGATCCCAACAGCGGAGAGCATAGAGAGCGTGGCTAGCAGTGACGCGGAGAAACTGAGCAAGAACACGGCGCGGGAAGACTGGAAGCGGTATCGTAAGGAGTTCCAACAGCCGGTCAAATTCAGGTCAGTTGTTATAGAATACTAGACCTTATTGTGTTAGAAATAGAAGCTGTAGATGCTCGACCAATGTTTAAGATTATGCTATCTAAGTTTTGTCAGTGGTTTACGGGGTAATAGACTTTAACATCTTAGAAATAGGTGCTATACTGCTGATTTAGTGTCTTAGTTTTTCGAAGCTTTCATAAAAAAGTAAAGTCGTTTGTATTAACCAAAATATAAATTATAAGTCTAGTTAAGATTGATTTAACTTGCAATGTATGCATGTACTTGTATGTATGTATGGGTAGTGGACTTTTTAGTCTTTTTAGCTACTAGATTTTGAGTCAGATATTTTCAATAAATTGAGCTGTAACCCGGTAGTTTCCAACTAGTCAAATTCAATACTTTTAACCAAATGTTAAAATCGTTAAGATTTTTTATTTAATTTTCTCTACATACAAATCTAATTATTCGTGATTACAAAAATTTGCTAAATCAGTAAAATCATTTATTTTCATATATCTAGATTATTGTTGTATCACTCATCTCTCTAGCGAAACTTTTTTTTTATTCAATAAGGTACATCAACAATATACATAAAATACATTTTCTTAATTTTATGACTGAGACAGAGTTCTTGTATGTATATCTTTAACAGGTCACTTACTGTATCTAAACATAAACATTAAACCAAGGAAAAATACGAATACATTAGCGCGCGGCCGTCAAAGAGACGGGACACGCGCGAGACCGCTAGGCCCCTTTTTATAAAAAACTTGGAGCATTCGGACAAAAATATGAGGAATAATAGCAGTCAAATATAATTATTGTTAATTATCTCCAGGGTAATCAACGTGCTTCGTCACTGGGTGGACCAGCACTTCTACGACTTCGAGCGCGAGCCGGCGCTGCTGGAGCGACTGCGGGAGTTCTTGGAGTCCGTCGACGGGAAGCCCATGAAGAAGTGGGTCCAGAGTGTACTCAAGACGCTGCAGAGGAAGGTACGTACTCCGCTGCTTCGTATCTTAATAAGTCGATTGTTTTTGTTTTCTTTATAAAAAAAACACGTTACTCAAAAAATCTTATAATTTTTTTTATTTATGTTAACACGTATTTGATCCAGTTACATTAAGACAGATATAATAAAATAATAAAGGGATAGAAAAAACGATACATAAAAAGACGAACTTAAAACAAACAAACAATCAAACAAACATAAAATAAATAAATAAAAACAAATAGGAACTAATCATTCACAGTTTCATAAAAACTCAAACATAAACATATGTACCTCTAATAATATTAAATTTATCTACAAAGGTTTTGTTGTAAAACGGAATCAAACATTATTCCAAGTGTCTTTAAAGAAATACTTATTACTACATTTTTAGCGTAGTGACTATGCAACTGGCTCTCAACGTGTGGCATGTTCGATTCCCGCACGGAACTCTTTGTGTATGTGAAATTGTATGTTTGTAAACGCATCCACGACACAGGACAAAATCCACCTGTTGGACAAAGTTTAAAAGAAATATAAGTAGTAAAATTATTCTTATTATTTTTAAGTAGTAAAATTATTCTTATTATTTTAAATTAAAATGTCGTTATAACTTTTCGTGTGAATTGTTTTCATTCGTCATTTTTCTTTAGCAATTCGCGATAAGGAAGTTTGTGTCTTAAGACATTATTCTTATACTTTAGAGGTATGAGAGAACAAGGTGGAAAGTTCCTCATCCTCCATTGAAAAGGGAGGAACCTCCCACCAGTCGGGTGTTTTTTCTTTTTGCCCCAAACTAGGATTTTCTCCTGTGTCGTGGGTGCGGTTGCAAACACCCAGACCCGAAACAACAATTTGTGGATCACACAAAGAGTTTTACCGTGCGGGAATCGAACCCGTGACACATTGCACGGCATCCAGTTGTCCAGCCACTGCAACAACCGTACAGTCAATTGTTTAGTCAGTCTGTCAGTTAATTGTTGTGCGATAGATGTCGCTACCGTACCATAAATAATGTGTGTGTGTCCCCGCAGAGGCTGGGCGCGGAGTGCGAGGCGAGCGGCGTGGGCGGCGTGACGGGCGGCGTGTCGCACGTGTTCGACCGGCTGCCGCCCACGCCGCTGCGTCACGTCGCGGAGCCCGAGCGTCACGCCTGGCATCCGCTGGCGCTGCACCCACTCGAGCTGGCCAGACAACTCACGCTGCTAGAGTTCCATCTCTACAGACAGGTAACTCACTCACTGCACCACGGGAAGTAATTTATATGCTCACAAAGAGGAAGGCGGACCGCGTGAGGAACCAATCCTCCTCGTCATGCCCCAATCGCCGCATCAGGCCACCTAAAGCGCAAGTCTGCGGACGGCGAGTAAGGGCAGCTCGCCGCTCGACCAGAACCAGACCCGAGCGTACGGTGCGTAGCGTTCCGCGCGCGCCTCTGAGACCCAATAGTGATTATAAACGACCCCGTTACTTCGTCTACTCTGGGCCCAGGCCGCGGTGCCTCATTGCGCTTACCCCTCCACCCCGGCTGAACATCAGCCCTATAGAGCCCCGACTGTGGTGGTCTATTGGCTCTTTAAGGCGCGCGCGGAACGCTACGCGCCGTACGCTCGGGTCTGGTTCTGGTCGGGCGGCGAGCTGCCCTTACTCGCCGTCCGCAGACTTGCGCTTTAGGTGACAGGAGATCATCTCTCCATCCCTTGAAGGTCGACTGTTAGACAATGCCTAATGCATTAAGTCCGCCTGTACATATATTTGTATAAAGTATATAAATAATCAGACAGCTCGTTTGCCGACCTGAACCCTAAAAAAATATAGCGAAGCTATAATTTAGATAATGGTTGACTACAGGTGAAACCTTCGGAGCTGGTCGGTGCTGTATGGACGAAGAAGGACAAAGAGAAAACCAGCCCCAACCTTCTGCGGATAATCAAACATACGACCAATGTGAGTAGCATATCTATGTATACTATCACTAGCATACCCGGCGAACTCAGTTTCGCCAACAAAGTCAAAATCAAAATCATTTATTTCAATTAGACCCATACAGGCACTTTTGAACGTCAAACAAAATTTTAAAGATATAAAGTGTCAGTCTGTCGGTCAGTCCTCTTAGTGAAGCTATTAGCTCGTTCCAAAGTGTAGATTCCGATGGAGAAGAACGAGCAAGAAACTCCATGGTTACTCTTTTTAAATCAGTGTCACATACAGATTCTTTGATACATTATTTAGTTGGTTTGATTATGTGATGTATTATTTTATTATATGTGCAACAGATGTGTACCTTCAAAAAGTTGTCCCAATATGTTAAAAAAGAGATTTTCCTAAATTTTCTTTGCTATAAACCTCACAGAGCTTAAGACCTTTCCAACGAATGCAAAACTGTGGAAATCGATTCGTGCGTTCTGGAATTTTAAGAGACAGGAAGGAAAACACGATTTATTTTTATATAGTTGTTGATATTATAAAGCTGGAGAGTTCGTTTGTTTGTTGGAGTGCGCTAATCTCCAAAACTGCTGGTTCGAATTGAATAATTATTTTTGTGTTTGTTATTACATTTTCGAGGAAGGCTAATAGGCTATAAAACATCACCAATGGACGACGGAAACATGATTATAATAAAATACGTAATATTATTTTCAGTTCACACGCTGGATGGAGAAGTGGATAGTAGAAAGCGAAAATTTAGAAGAGCGTGTCGGCGTCGTTTGCAGAGTACTAGAACTGAGCATAGCATTGCGCCAGCTGAACAATTTCAACGGAGTACTGGCAGTAGTCGCGGCCTGCGGGTCCGCGTCCGTACACCGGCTACGAGCCACCTTCCAACTCTTACCCCCCAGACTGTCCCGGGCGCTGGACGAGTTCAGAGAACTGAACTCTGACCACTTCAGAAGATATCAGGAGAAGTTGAGAAGCATAAACCCACCGTGCGTGCCCTTCTTCGGCATGTATTTGACTAATATACTGCATATTGAGGAGGGGAATCTAGGTACGTAAAGCTGTAGACCACACCTATTTAAATTTATCGAATAGTACAGTTGGAACAGTGAAAATAATTACTTTTAACCCCCGACGGGAAAAGAGGGGTGTTATAACTTTGACGTGTCTGTCTGTCTGTGGCATCCTGGAGCCTGAACGGATGAAGCGATTACATTGTTTTTTGTATTAAAGGTGACTTACGTGCGAGTGTTCTTAGACATGTTTGACGAAAATCGGTTGAGCCGTTTAGAAGTTGTGGGGGGGTAAGTGGGGAAGGGTAGCGCACTGAAAGAGAATGTTGATGACTTAATCGAGAGAAAATACTATAAAATACCTATAAAAAATATAATATTAATTAGACCCCCGGCAAAATAGAAATATGTAGTAGATATTTGGATCGGTCCCCCAACGCCACGTTAAAGGAATACTAGTTTTTTTTTGTCAGGGGTATTAAATGTTTTTTTTTACTTTTAAACTCAATTAAATGTGACGCGTTTCTAGTATTTTTACACGAACTGCCCAGAAAAAGGAGTGTTATTTTTTTAGGGTTCTTATATACGTATGTGATTTTTTAATGATATTTCGTAAGACCTTCACAATTTCTCCATTATGAAAACGTCTCTCTTTTGCGTTTTCAAATTAACAGTCCCTGTTATATTGCTTATAAGAAAGGAGAATTAAAATTTTGTCATTTATTATGTTTTCGGCTTACTCACGTAATAATTTGACGAGATACTCGACTAGTTTCAAGCCGTGCTAGAGGCCCATATTCATGAGCAGCATTCCGCGACACGCGACTCGGCGGCTGTCGCGCTGCTAACGGCTGACCAGTAGCAGCGCGTCTCTAGCATGGCTTGAAGCTAGTCGAGTATCTCGTCAAATTATTACGTGAGTAAGCCGAAAACATAATAATTAATTTAGAATGTCTCACGAAAGTTATAATCAAATTTTGTCATTTAAACATTCATTGATAAATATATTCTGTTTCTAACGATATCGTCTACCCAACGAATACCTCCCCCTCCACCTCTCACATTTATCAATCTCACTTTTTCATAGAAAGGACGCCAATTATTTTCCTTGCGTCTTTCTATTTCGCATTGAACAATTTGTTGTCGCGAGGAATATTGTTAATCACATCAAATACTGTAGAACTCCTACTATTGATTTATGAGCAGTTACATTGCAGATGCAATGTTGATAGATAGAGAGCGCAACAGACTCTAGTTAGGGCGTAAATACAAAGGGTACAGCGCACCAATCGGATACGTCGACGTTCCCGAATGATCGAGGGCTAAGATCCCTCACACCAACCTTCCATCCACTCCCAGTTAGGTTCGCGTAACGTCGGGGACGGTCGGACAACGCATACTCCCTTGCGAATGACTAATAAAAATAAATTTTTTTCGTCGCTTCACTATTATCGAAAGGAACTTCTTTCCATCGTACTGTCTCTTTTTCCTTTGGCCATCTTCTAATGCTAACGATCTGGTTGCAGACTACCTCCCCGACTCGGAGCTGATAAACTTCTCGAAGCGGCGCAAAGTGGCGGAGATCACCGGCGAGATCCAGCAGTACCAGAACCAGCCTTACTGCCTCACTGTCGAACCTAAGACCAGGGTGAGTACCCTTCTTGTATTTGTGTTTAAAACATCTCCCAATAAGTAGTATCTTATTTTTTATGTAATAGGTCGGCAAACGAGCAAACGGATTACCTGATGGTAAGCAATCCGCGCCGCCCATGGACAACGAATGTGTTACGAGTGCGTTGCCGACCTTTTAGGGATTAGGATTTTGGGGAGTTCGGGATTGAAGGAGGGGAATAATTGGGCCTCCGGTAACCTCACTTACACGGCAAAACCACGAATGGGTCGGCTCGACCGGAGTGATACCAAGGCCTCACAGAAAACCGCCGCGAAACAACCGGAAGCCCAATATTTACCCAATCTCTATCCTTTCTCAATTCCTAAATGTCCGAAACCCTAAGCTGCCGGCAACGCATTCGTTACTATTCTGATGATGCTTAGGAGACGTAGGGGATTGAGGATGTAAAGAGGTTATTTTTTGTTGTGGCAATTCATAAGCCCCTCCTCCCCTCTCCCATTCAATTCTTCTTCAGGCAAGCGCCGTGGTACCTTATTTTTTTTGCCCCATGGGCTATGGGGCGCGGCTTTTTGAGTATAAGGACATGTGGAACAATAATTGTGAAAAGGGCTAGATGCTGGTTTTCTGTGAGGCCCACCCAATAACTTAACTCTATGTATATTTGAATATAGTGTACCTGTTGTTGTATCGCAGGCGTTCCTAGAGTCCCTGGATCCGTTCCCGGGCAAGGACGACAACGAGATCACCAACTATTTGTACGCGAAGAGTTTGGAGATAGAACCGAGGCTCGCCAAGCAGCTGCCTAAGTTTGTAAGTATACAGCTGCAACTAGGAATTTTAATAATATACTGTTATTAAAGCAAAGAATATCCTATCATCTGTAGCGACATCTAGCGCACTACATAAACAACAGCACCAATCACGAGCAAGATTCTACATCGCGCTATAAGAGTTATCAACACAATTAGCACCTATACAGATATCCCGACAACAACCGTCGGGCAGTAGCCCACCAGGCACGAACACCTCGCCTGGTCGGGGGATCCTCCCTTTTCAATGGAGGATGAGGAACTTTCCACCCTGTTCCTCATACCTCTAAACATCCATAGTGTTAGCCATCTGGTTGAGTTTAATTTTATATCGGGAATAGAGAGTAAAGTTTCATTTGATCAGAAAATGGGAGCATACTCCGACAGGGCGAGACGAATATGCCTGGTCTACTACTGCATAATGTCGTGCCCAAACAAGTTTACTTACAGTACGGCCGACGTATCTTGACGAGACTGAAGTTAGCCGTTTGTCTGCGCAATAGATGTTTTAGGAACAAAATTGTGTACTGCGCAGCTAATCGACTAACTTCAGACTCGCCAAGATACGTTGGCGGTTTTGTACGCTAAGTCGAAAAAAAAACCGGACCTGACAACTTTAGGTTGAAAATAATGACATTGCTAATTTTTGCTAAACTTATGTTTATATAAAGAATGACTCAAGACTTGTAGAGTTATCTGTGTATTTAATCGTTAATGTATGTCCGTCACTTGATTAAAACGTCCCCCCCCCCAGCCGCGTAAGTACCCGGAGCTGTCCCCGAAGCCGCTGAAGGTGTCGCGGCGCGCGGCGGCGGCGCACGAGCCCTCCCACGGCGCCAACAACTCCTGCGCCTCCTCCATGTCCTCCTCCGCATCGCACTCCGACGACACCATGAGTACGTATACAGTAGACCGGTAGACCAGTAGACCGGTACATTTTTAGGCCACAAGACTTACAAAAAAGTTAAAAACCAGTAAACAAATAGACTATTAGATTAGTAGTAGATTATAAGACTGGTCTTTTATTCTATATAAAAGACCAGAAGACCCAGTTAAAACCAGTAGTCTACTTGTTCTAACTGCGTCTACTGGTCTTTCTAATCTACTATTGATCTTATAGTCTATAAGATAATAGTCGATTAGAAGACTAGTAGTATAAAAGATCAGTAGACTATTAAACCAGCAGTAACGTCAAGAACTAGTAAATAAATTACAAGACCTGTACTCAATTAAAAGACCAGTAGACCAACATACCAACAGACTGTTAGACCAATAGTAGAATGTATCATTATTTTTTCGAATATACAAAATCGTCAGTTTTCCTTCATTGTTTTCTGATATTTGATTTATTTTACGTCAAGTTGCATAAATAATAATTACTTCTCGAAAATTATCTAAAATATACAAACTTAAATGTTAGGGAAAATATTTAGTTTTAATTCCGCGACAAAAATCCAGGCTTGTTGCAGGAATTTTCCTAACATTTAATGTCATAGATTTCCGCAAAGTAACACCTGATTCTATAAAGTATCCAACTATGATTACAATTGTCATTTACCGTGTATATATAAGAATGTCTGTCTGTCTGTCCATACAGGTATGTCGTCCCAGATATCCCCGACCAGTATCAGCACGTGGGACGGAGGATCGCTACAGTCCTTACCTCTCGACCTCTGTGAGTATCCGTTTTTTAAAACTACATATTTTGTCTTCTGTTTATAATATTGAGGAGCTCGTGATGGACCCTTAACCTCGTCCATCACGGCCGGTTCAAAACCAAGTACCAATGTGACTTTTTCCGAGTTATATATGTACTTTCTATGATTATTTAGACACCACTGATATACGGTGAAGGTAAACATTGTGAGGAAACCTGGACTTATAATTTCTATTTAAAGTTTGAAGTCGCTAAACCGCCTTGAGCGACCGTGGTGGTTAATGCTCAAACCTTCTCCACGTAAGACGAGGCCTTTGCTCAGCGTCAGCAGTGGGCACTTATAGGCTGATGATTTGATGCATAATATTGTCTTTGAGGTTATTTTCATTTTCCGTTTCTTTGGATTAATTTAAGTGTTACACTGTTCTCACATAATAGAACCGACTAAATGATTTAACAAAGAATTTAATTCAATATTTTCCAAATATGCAGCTTTTTTTTAACGAGCGACTGGATTACCTGATGGTAAGCAATCAGCGCCGCCCATGGACATACGCAACAACAGAGAAGTTACGAGTGCGTTTTTGGCCTCTTGTCGGTTATTAGGGATTTAAGGATAGAGGATTTGAAGATTGAATGTGAGGGAGAAAGGATTGGGCCTCCGGCAAACTCACTTAAACACGTAACAACAGAGGACCTACGAGTGCGTTGCCCACCTTTTGGAATTAGAGATTTGAAGATTTAGGAAATGGGGGAGAATTGGGCCTTTGGTTGTTTCACGCCGGTTTGCTATGAGGTCGTGATATCACTCCGGTCGAACCGACACATTCGTGCCGAAGCATCGCTCTCCCACACTAACATAATGATTATATTTCAGTAACGGGCAGTAAACAGGAGTTGGTTAGTCCACGGCTGGACCGAGGCTCCCTGTCCCAGCTGTCGCAGCTGCTGTTCTTCGATAAGAACAAGCCCAACCATAATCACAAGTTAGTATACACCTTCTTTACAATTATGTACGTGTTTTACTAATACTCCTCACGCGGGTGTCACATACCCGACCAGAGATCTACAGATTTTATGTATTCACAGATAGCTTTCTTGATAAACTTGTTCCTTTTCAACTGCCTGCCAAATCCTCATCCTGCCTAGTAATTATGTGGTGATTATGATATATCCTTCTGATGTAGAGAAGACCTTAATTCCAGCTGTAGATAATGCAGGGATGATGATGAAGTGGTTACATATAATGTTTTTTCGTAAATAAAGGTTGTCATTATTGTGTAACAAAAAATTGTTTAAAAAAAAAGGGTTGCGCAAGTAAGCGCAATGAATGTTTATTGGTTTTTAACCTTTTGCGCAAACCGGTAAAAGCTTAATTCAACTTTTTAAAACAGTTCTAAGTTTTTATTATAACTTTCGTGAGACATACTAAATTATTTATTGTTTTGGGCTAACTCACGTAATAATTTGACGAGACACTCGACTAGTTTCAAGTCAAATAATTGAGTAAGCCGAAAACATAATAATTGGGTAGTTTCCTAGGTCAAAAATAAATTAATTGGACGTTTCAATACAATAAAACATTGAAAAATAACTATACTTTTATTCATCGATCGATCGATACACTTAATTTTACATATTTTTTTAATAGCTAATTATTAAGAAATAAGTAAGCTATTTGCCGCAAAAATACTACGACATCATAACTTAGTTTTTCATACAAATTTCATAGAAAAGTATTGAATTTGACTAGTTGGAAACTACCAGCATTTTAAAAGTTATAAGTTGTAAAAAAATGCGCTCAAAGTTTTGCGCAGATTTGCGCAACTTTGCCAATTATGTTTTAATTGAGTTAAATGTACATACTGAAATATATTATGTATATTGTTACACAAGAAACAGCACGAGAGACGAACCCCCGTCCCCGCGAGACAGGCATTCGCCGCGACACGACCGGTGAGTACCCAATATATTATTATACTATATCAATCTATATGTTTGTCTGTCCATTTTAGTTGCCTTTCTCGCAAGTCCTAAACGAAAAATGTGAATCTCGATTATAAACGCCAAACTACTAATGTTATGTTTCACTGCACGGTTGGCCGTGCAACGTGTCGCGGGTTCGATTCCCGCTCGGAACAATTCTTTGTGTGATCCACAGATTGTTGTTCCGGGTCTGGGTGTGATGTGTATGTGAAATTGTATGTTTGTAAACGCACCCACGACACAAGAGAAAATCCTAAAGTTGGTCACTGTGTCGTGGACGCGTTTTTCATATACTCATCACTGTGATTGGTTCACGCCGGTTTTCTGTGAGGCCGTGGTATCACTCCGGTCGTGCCGAAGCATGGCTCTCCGACCTAATAATACGATTGTCCCCCCCCCCCCAGGCAATGGTCTTCTTGCGAGCGTAAGACGCTGTCCCCCCGCAACCCCATCGTGGATGCAGACCTCTTCTACTCCTCGCGGGGACACACCGCGCCGCGGAGACCCGACCTGGTCTGTATAACATTATGTCATGTGTATGTGAAATTGAATGTTTGTAACCGCACCCACAACACAGGAGAAAATCCTAATGTGGGGCAACGTTTTTTAAAAAAAGAAAAAAGAAGAAAGAATATAAGATTGTAATTTGGATTTACCTCAAATTAAAAATCAAAATCATTTTATTATAACTAAACCATAAATTGGAACTTTTAAAACGTCAAAATAGAAGCTAGGTGCTCGATTGTTAAAAAAAAATATGTAGGTAACGATGTATGAAAGTAACAAAAATGAATTTATTTGATTACAAGGGTATATTTACGAGTGGATCAAATCTAATATAGATTGAGATGTCAGGATGTCTTTATATATATATATTTTTTATTTTCTTTGTGTAGTTCGCTACAGGTGTTTATAGTTTAACCGGATCAATGTTAATTATGCAAGTATGGTTAATAAAGTCGTGGTATGTTCCAGCAGGAGCGAGTGCCCCCCCTGCTGCCCCGCGGGGAGCCGGAGCGCCCCCCCGCCCCGCCGCGCCGGCCCTCCTCGCCCTCACACTCTTACTGCGGTCAGTCACACACTATCTACTATACCATTTCGTTATAATGCCTTTAATGAAATGAATACTTATTTAGTATATTTAAGAATTAAGTTTAGTTGTTTAGTTACTTTCTAGCTTTCTTTTTTTTATGTAATATATCGGCAAACGAGCAGACGGATTACCTGATGGTAAGCAATCAGGCCGCCCATGGACACCCGCAACGGAGGAGTTACGAGTATGTCGCCGACCGTTTAGGGATTAGAAATAGAATAGGGGAGGGGAAGGACTGGGCCTCCGGTAACCTCACTCACACGGCGAAACACAACGCTGTGGTCATTTTACGCAGGGTTTCTGCGAGGCCGTGGTATCACTCCGGTTGAGCCGACCCATTCGTGCCGAAGCATGGCTCTCACACACTTATTTTTAAATTAGTATAATTTGGAGATTTTGTGATATTACTTATGTTGAAATTTGACAAAAAAAAGTTCTAACTAGGGATGTTATGTATATGAATTTTTTACGGTACTGAAATAGTTATGGTAGTTACGGATATAGGAATGATTATTATACTGAATAGAGATTTGGATATTGGTCCCATAGACAACATTGTTGTAATTGACCACCAAAATCGGTTCCTTCAATATGTCCCTCATTCAAAATGCCACCTTGTATATAAATAATTAGCTACTCTCGCGCGGTTTCACCCGCTGCTCGGCTCCATTTCATCGTAGCGTAATGTTATGCCTATAGCACTCAGGAACATTGTAGCTATCTATCAGTGAAAGAATTTTCGCAATCCGACCAGCGGTTCCAAATATTACCTCCTACATACAAACTTACAAATTTTACTTCTTTATAATATTAGTATAGATAAATCACTAAGGAATCTTCTTAGCCGGAGTCTGTGTTCCCCGAAGGGTATAACCTGGGTGCCTTCAAGGCCCGAGTGAATAGGTTGCTTATGGGTAGTCGTGCTCCATCGTAGGTCGCATCACTGCTTACCATCAGACGTAATTAACTAGAAATGTTTGTTCCAGCATCATCGTCTACGTGCGAGCCTCCCCCGGAGCCCCCCGACCGGCCGCAGCCCAGCCCCAAGCACGAACTCTTCAAGTCAGTACTATTTCCACAACTACTTCCAAACAGGGGGGGGGGAATAGAGATAGAAGAGGGGAGAATAGTATTTTTTTTATATAGTGATATATGATAGGTCGGCCAACGAGCATACGGATATCCTGATGGTAAGCAATCAGCGCCTATGGACACCCGCAACAACAGAGGAGTTACGAGTACGTTGTCGACCCTTTTGGGGATCAGAGATTTGGAGATTTATAGATTGGGGGAGGGGAAATATTGAGCCTTCAGTTACCACTGTGAAACACAACGCTAAAGTTGTTTCACGCTGGTTTTCTGTGAGGTCGTGGTATAACTCCGGTCGAGACACTAAAGCATGGCACTCACATAAAAATTGGGGAAATTATTCTAGTTACTATTCACCCCTCCACTTTTCTGTATCTATTTACCCCTTGAATTCTGTAAACCACGTTGTACCGTAATTATTTATTAATTTTTAATTTGGACATCAGTAGTATTCATATCATAGCTGGAAGAAAACATGAAAGTGGCAACCTGGATATTTAATTCCTAATTATAAGTTTGAACTCGCCAATTCGCCTTGAGCAAGCGTGGTGATTAATGCTCAAACCTTCTCCGTGTGAGAAGAGGCCTTTGCTCAGCAGTGGGCACTTATAGGCTGCTATACAATACTTGTACACTTGATTTAGTTTCTGAGATTATCGCGTTCAAACAAACAAACTGTTTTGCTTTATAATATTAATATGAAGGCACCGGGGGGTTGGTACAAACATCAACATCCCGATCATCGTCTTCACAGTCCATCGCAGGGCGTAGGATTTTATAATCAGACCGAATAAATTACAAAAATATCGGACGTCGGCGATCCGTCTCAGATGACAGTCACAGCGCTCGCTCTACACCATAATGCGCACGCAGAACTGTCAGTTTGACGTTCCGCCAGAATACAATTTATGGTACCCTCGTCCGATGAATTGTGATAAAACCTCCTTCAAAATTCAATTTCAATAATCGACGCTCCGACAAATAGTATAGATAGATACAATAACATAGTTGGGAGTTGACCTCCAAAATATGGAGATAGCGCACACATGGCGCGAGTCAGGTTACTACCACATGTCTTTGTTATGTAATACGAGGAAACTATAGCGGCACGTAACATTTTAAAACAAAAAAATGTAATCAAGACACTTTTTATAATATGTGGGAGAACCAAATTTCGACATGAAAGGATTGAGGCCTCTCAGAAAACTAACGTGAAACAACTACAGCGTTGTGTTTCGCCGTGTGAGTGAAATTACCGGAGGCTTAATCTTTTCCCTCCCCCAATCCGTCCCTTATCCTTAAATCTTCCAAAACATTACCCCGAAAAGGACACGGCATTGATACCACGGACTCGCAGAAAACCGGCGTGAAACAACTACAGCGTTGTGTTTCGCCGTGTGAGTGAGGTTACTGGTAGCCTAACCCCCTATCCCCACCCCCCCAATTCCTAAATCTTCCAAAACCTTATTCCTAAAAGGCAAGCTTTGACACGAATGGGTCGACTTAACCGGAGTGATACCACGGCTTCTCAGCAAAACTGACGTGAAACCGTATGCCCAATCCTTCCCTTTACTCTTACCACCCCAATCCCTAAATCTTACAAACCCTTACCCCCAAAATGCTGCGGCAGTGACACCACGGCCTCACAGAAAACCGGCGTGAAACAACTACAGCGTTGCGTTTCGCCGTGTTAGATTGAGGATGGGGGCTTTCTTTAAATTCCTAATAACCGACAAAGTACCGGTAACGCACTTGTAGTAACACGTTTGCCGACCTATAGCACAAAAAAAGTTATCATATTTGTAAATATTATCGAGTTTAACATGAAAACGCGATGCCGTATGTTGACAGTCCCTGCTCAGATATCTAGCGTGGTTATAGCCGGCCTGTCTGTTTGTCTGTCTCGTCCCAACCTCTGTACTGCGCTGTAGCTCGAGTCTATATACTCATATATCTAATTGTTGTGTTACATATATTTCGTTGCTGTTTTTCTGGTAAATATTTATATTTTATCATCAGCGTATAAGTGCCCACTGCTGGGCAAAGGCCTCTTCTTACACGGAGAAGGTTTGAGCATTAACCACCACGCTTGCTCAAGGCTGGTTAGCGATTTCAAATTTATAATTGGAAATTATAAATCCAGGTTTCCTCACGATGTTTACCTTCACCGTACGTCAGTGGTGTCTAAATAAAGTCAGAGGTGAAAATCAACTGGCTGTTGTGTCTCGGGTTTGATTTCCGAACGGAACAACTCTTTGTTCGATCCACAAATTGTTGTTCCGGGTCTGGGTGTGATTTGCATGTAAAATTGTATGTTTGTAATCGCACTCACGTCACAGGACAAAATCCTAAAGTACAAGTTTTTTTAAGTGATTGACTTGACATATATTGTGTATTTCTTTTGCAGTGGTAAAGAAATGTATTGTTATTGTAATGTTTGTTGAGTAAAGTGTCGTCCCCCGCAGGATGCCGGCGGTGTCCCCGAAGCGGTCCCCGGCGCCGCAACCGCCCGCCAGCCCCCATCTGCCGCCCGACAGGTCACCTACATACTTATTATTATACATTCTTATATTATATGTATATATAGATACCATTTTAGAGCTTTTATTAGTTATTCAACTAAGGGCTTCATTGGCTTATCAGTCTGACCTGACTCTACTGACAGAGTCAGCCATCTACCGCCGCTTCATGCCGACTTCATCTAGTTTTTCACATATAATTGACGTGTAAAAGTGCCGTTTTATGGCCTATTTGCGAAAATAAATTCAATGTTTCATTGTTCACCATGTTAGAAGGTTAGGTTGGAATTGCGAGTCAAGCGCAATGAAGTACCGCGATCTCGGCCTGGAGCAGAATCTGATACTGTCTTTGACAATGTAGCCCAGAATATCTAGCTCACTTCTTAATTTCATAAACAAGCTTCTTGTCCTTAATCAAAACTAATATTATAAATGCGAAATTAATTCTGTCTGTTTTTTCTTCAGGCCTAAACTACTGAATCTATTAGTGTGAAATTTGGTACAGACATAATTTAGAACTCGAGAAAGGACATAGCATAGTTTTTATACCAAAAATCTGCAGGAAGTCACTATTCCACGCGAACAAAGTTGCAGGCAAAAGTTAGTTTATTATACACTTAAATTTACCTTCATGTATCTATTCTAAAATTATTGTGTCTTATAAAAACACCTCATCAATATCTGTCCAGTAGTTTTATAGATCTAAACATACAAATACAAAGACAGATAGAAAGAAGCGAATTTGTTTTTAGCTATGTAGTGATTGAGTTTGTAAAACGTTATATGAACGTGTGTTTCCGTACAGAGGCGGGGTGGCGTTCAAGTTCGAGTGGCGGGGCGCACCCACCCCCTCCCCGCCCGCGCCCCCCCTCACTCCACATCTACGTGAGTACTACCTCGTATACAGTACGGCCGACGTATCTTGACGAGTCTGAAGTTAGCCGTTTGTCTGCACAATGGATGTTTTAGGAACAAAATTGTGTACTGCGCAGCTAATCGGCTAACTTCAGACTCGCCAAGATAAGTTGACCGTATTGTACATTATTAGTATTATTATTTTTTTAGGGTTTTTCACCAAGAATTTTATAGTTTCATAGGTAAAAAATAAATTAATTCGACTTTTCAATATAATAAAATAACTATACTTTTATTCAGCGATCGATCGATACAACATGCATACACTACATTTGAGATATTTTTTATTGATATTTGACATTAATATTTCAATATAAGTATTGAATTTGATTAAGTTTGAAACTACCTAATTGTGATGTCACATAGGTATTTCTTTAATGATTTTAAAAGCATTTTATTCCGTAAAGAAAGATAAAAGAAAAATATACATTGTTTTAACATTAATAAGAAATAAAATCATTCGGCATAAGTATTAATAAAAAAATTCTTTCACCTACACCTAGCTTCATTGACGGACAGATTGTCAGAATATTATTCTACATTAACGTTTGAAAAGTTGAAATAAATTATTTAAAGTTCGAATTCTGTTTGAAATGGAAACAAAAGAATACGGTAGTTTCCAACTAGTCAAATTCAATACTTTTATCCAAATGTCAAAAACGATACTTATTTATATGAAATTTGTATGAAACACTGAGTTACGACGTCTTAGTATTTTTGCGTCAAATAGCTTACTTAATTTTTAATAATTAGCTACAAAATATCTAGAACTTAGTGTATCGATCGATCGACGAATAAAGGTATAGTTATTTTTCAATATTTTATGTATTGAAACGTCGAATTAATTTATTTTTGGCCTAGGAAACTACACAATTATTTTATACTATGTTTGTTCCAATCCTCTATAAACATAGTGTTTGAATAAAGGAATGAGTTGAATACGACGAAAAGAGACGGACCTCTGAGTTTGTTTCGGCATTTCTTCTCAGAGTAGTCAGATAGGACATGCCGGCTTCATTTAGACTTTTTACATTATAATTTTGACTCGTAAAAGTGCTGTTTTAAGGCGTATTTGCAATAATAAATTCATCGTAAATAACTGTGGTAAAGGTGTTTATTTTTTTTTTATATTTTTGTTTTGATTATTATTTAATTAAACATAGACATAGAGTTTAAGTATCGTTTTATCCTATTATTTTTAATATAAATCGTAGCATTATTTCCTTAATTAAAAACACTTATGTACTTATGATTATTTAACAATGTATAATATCTTTTTACCCATTTTCGCCTGAAACACAGGTTGTCCTAGTTCAGGCACCCAATATTATGAACTTGGTATAGCTTTAAGCAAAACTGTATATTCTAGATTATGTGTTCTTCAATAAATTTTATTTATTTATTATTATTGTTACAATGTGTAATGTCTCCCTCCCCCCGCAGCGGTGTCGTGTGGCACTCCTCCTCCGCTGCCCCCGCGGCGACGCCGGGACTCCGCCGCGCCGCCCACCCCACTACCTCCCGTAAGTATACGCCATACTAGCCATCTTTCGCCTACCCACGGGTGCAATGCTGATACTAAATTTCTCCACTATTTAATGGATGTTATTATACATATAAACCTTCCTCTTCAATCACTCTCACCCGGTTTCTGAAAGGCTTGTCACCGCTAAAATTAACTAATCTCCTGTTAAATCTCTTGTCAAGTCATATGATTGGTTGTTGATAATTCAGTCAACCAATCAGATGACTTGACAAGAGATTAAATTGATTTTAACATTGATTGGCCTTTCGGAAACCGGGTGTCTATCTAATAAAAACCGTATCAAAATCCACTGCGTAGTTTTTATTCAGGTATTGAGTGGTTTCAAATAATTTGAATAAGATTTCTTTCAACACTTTTATTATAATGGAAAAAGAACAGCTAATACAAATAAAAAATGGAGCAACGAAAAACGAATGAACAAAGACAACCAAAACGCCACCTGCCAGCTTTATAAAGACACCTATAAATTTACCTCTTTTCAATATTTACCTCTTTTCAATAGTTTTAAAGATTTAAGCGTACGTAGGGATATAGGGACAGAGAAAGCGACTTTGTTTTATACTATGTAGTGATTTACAAAGTGTCTGATGGTAAGCAAACAACATCGTCTATGGATACTCGCATCACCAAAAGAGTTACATGTATATCGCCAGCCTTTAAAAGGTCAACGATATAAGGATTTCAGCCGAGGTTGCGTGGCAAACGCAATAAGGTACGGCGGCCTCGACCTGAAGCAGGAGAAGGAACAGGGGGTTTTTAGTCAGTAAGAGTCTGACACTCCCTCTCGTCTCTATCGAGAGAAGTCATTGGATGATTTTCCCCTCTCAAAAAAGGAATATAAAGATTTGGAGATTTCTAACCAAAAACTGCCTTCATGCTCTCTTATAATAAAATGTGTTTATTAGTAACTAGCTACTCTCGCGCGGTTTCACCCTCTGCTCAGCACCATTTGATCGTATCGTGATGTTTTATAGCCTATAGCAATCAGAAACATTGTAGCTATCTATCAGTGAAAGAATTTTAAGAATCCGACCAGCGGTTCCAAAGATGACCCTACATACAAAACCTACAAACATACAAACTTACATTTTTTTTATAATATTAGTATAGATAAACGATTTGAGTTGAGTTTATAACAGGAAGTCAGTTTGACTCAATGTCCATGACGTGCCACTAGTCGACTCCCGTCCAACAGAAAATTAGTGTGTATTAGTGACAACCCAATTTTTACTGGATAAGTTGGCAAACGAGAAAACGGATTACCTGATGGTAAGCAATCAGCGCTGCACATGGACACCTGCAACAAAGGAGGAGTTATAAGTTTGTTGCCGGTCTTTTGGCGATAAGAGTTGCGGTTATTGAAGGATTCGAAAGAGATAGGAGTGATGGTCCCCACTTTGTGTTCATTTTTGTTAACCTAAAATAATTAATTATTAAATTTATTTAAACTATAATATATTTTGCAGTCGTCAGTATGCGCGGGCTCCCCCCCGGCAGCCCCGGCGCCTGCGCCCGCGCCCCCGGCGAGCAATCCGGGGTCGCACGGGGCGCCGCCCCCGCTACCGCCTCGGCCTGCGCCCCCGCCTGAACTGTTACGTCCCGCGCACTCCACCATACTGCAGCGAAGACATAATAACACGTGAGTTTGTCAAGTATTTCATTATATAACAGATATCCACCATTAAACTCGGATCCTAATCGCTCTTATTACAAAAAGAAGGTTTATCTTTAGTCTAGACCTTAACCATTGAGCCAGTTTTTGTATGTTTTATGTAATAGGTCGGCTAACGAGCAGACGGATTACCCGATGGTAAGCAATCAGCGCCGCCCATGGACAGGAGTTACGAGTGCGTTGCCGACCTTTTTGGGATTAGGGTTTTGGAGATTAAGGGATCTGGGGAGGGGAAAGATTGGGTCTCAGGTTACCTTACTCATACGGCGAAACACAACGATTGTTTTACGCCGGTTTTCTGTGAGACCGTGGTTTTACTCCATTCGTGCCGAAGCTTGGCTCTCCCACACTTTGTATTTCGAATTGATGGTAGATGACAATAAGATTCAAAATACAAAACCTGACGCAATGGTTTAAACCTGGACTAGAGATAAATCCGGTTTTGTAATAAGGAGGTGTATTTTGTATAACTTGAACAACCTTTTCCTTACATTAACTCTCGTACATGTAACTAATAGTAATGTACTGTCCCCCCCCAGTGGCGCCCCCCGGCTGCCCCCGAAGCCGGCCCCCACCAACACAGCCGCGCGCACATAGCGACACACGCACACACACACACACACTATATTATATATATGGTGTTACATTATATACAACAACATCCTGTATGCGTTAGTTTAGGATTGATGTTAAACTCTGAAATCGTGATATTTTTTTTCTTGAAAAATTTTAATTGTAGCCGGCTAATTTTACTTGGTACTGGTATACGAGCATCCCTGCTTACCCACTTTTAGGATTGTAATTGTTAAAATATCATTTGATTATATAAAAATCCTAAAATGACGTTTTAAAGTATGTGTTTATTCTGTAACACCATGTATACAAAAGAAATATATTTTTATACAGCAACACAAAACTGAAATTATAGCAATACTTAAAAGTTCAAAAATATATTTATATATATATAAATACATATGTCGCAGATTCACACGCCACTGACTGACAGCCTGAATGAGTTCAGTCATTCAGTCAAACGGCTAGTCCTTCAGGCCGTTAGTCAATTGGCTATTAAGTAAGTTGTCAGCGATATATATGCTTGCTTTATTAACAGGGAAACTATAAAGGCAGCGAGAAATATACATTTAAAAACAGAATGAAATATACATATATATATAATATAAAAAAGTCGTTTATGTAATAAAAGAAAAATTGTATATAGAAAACGTTGTATATTATTAGTATATTTGTACATTCCAACTGTTAAATGTTAATATAGGACGAAAGTATTTTTGTTCACATTGACATTGCAACATTGTAGTAAATGTCAAATGTCAAAAATGTCAAATGTCAACTTATAAAAGCCTTATGTTTTTCAACTCGTTATATTCAATGGATGAAAATATTAATAAAAAATAAACTCATTTTCATTCACTGATTTGACTATATATTTGTTTGAATTCAAGTTAACTACCCTAACTTAACATCACAATGTAAAGAAATGAATATAGAATTTTTCTCCCCACCAAGTAATCGATTTATACTTATCACTGTCGATTAAATAGGTCCAGGTTTTATACCCGGGTCGGTCGTAGTACTAAGATTTTGGTTGTCTACTTACTAATTGAGCCCAGTAATAGACAACATTAAAATCGAATAGTACTTTACTCGACCTGGGTATCGAAATCTTGACCCTATTGAAGCGGTTAACGAGACATTTGACTTTATAAAAATTATTAATTATATAAATGGTTCTTTTGATTGATGCTCAGCCAATGTGAACATTATCGACTAAATACATAAAATTATGTAGATAAAACAATAATAAATTTATATTATAAATGTTATATACATACATACATACATAAAAAAATGTTCCTGTATGATCACTGGTCATTCATTTCCCTTATATAATATATAATACAGGCCTTTATCGCGTTTTCACCTAGTAACAGGGTTATTTTTCAAATTTCAACAGTTATTGTGTATTTAGTATTGTGGAATATTCTTAATTTATTCTTATACTAGCTTTTGTCCGTGACTTTGTTCGCGTGGAATAGTATCTTCCTGCAGATTTTTTTTCAGTAGTTTGGGCGTGAAGAAAAGACAGACAGACAGAGTTACTTTCGCATTTATAATATTAGTTTGGATATACAGAATAGTAAATGATTCGAGGAATGCTCAACTAGTTTCAAGTCACGCTGTTGTCTGTGAGATTATGTTTGTGAGTTCCGGTGTGATTTGAAACTAGTTGAGTTTCTCTAGAATGTTTTCAATAAGATTATATATTTCAGATTTATAAGTGAAATAATTCAATATTAGGCTATATTATTTGGTTTTTTCCTATTTATATAATGACAAAAGTATGTTGTGTTTTGGATACACAGTGGAAGAAGTATAATCTCAATCTGATCTTTGAAAAATAACCCTGAGCCTCATATTAATAAAATTATATTACTATGTCAATATATTATATCTCATCACATTACTATAGAAAAATAAGCCTTGTATATAACATAGTAGGGTAGTTTCCAATTAGTCACAATTTTATATATGTTTTCCAAAATATGAAAAACTATTTTCTGTGATTTTTTGTTTTTGAAATAACACGGTATGATGACATATTTTTTACGTCTTTTTGAGTATTTTTATGTTTTTTTCTTCATATGAAATAATTGTTTTTTTTTTTTGTCAGAGGAAACTACCCAATTATACATTATAATTGTAATAGTTATAGATATAATACTGGTGGTCATACAATATTATACTGATACGACTTAAATATATTAGTTACTGGTATATTATTATCGACCTCGTATTCCTAAATATGTTATACAGGATATAAAAAGACACTTAACGAAGCCGAAAGCCACGTATTCTACCCATTATTTGGATAATTTTTTTCTTTAAGACCATAGGTGGGACTCCGCGGGTTCTCGAGATATTGAAGGTCAAAGATGCATTTTTAAATATTTTTTTTGCGCAATCGAACTCTAAGTATTATTACAAAACTTTTTTCCAAACAAACGTTACCTGAATTTTCGATTTTTCTCAATAAATTGCGCGTTTGAAGTTACGAACAGTAATGTACGTAATAAATAAATGCAGACCCGCACAAAAAACATCGTGCATCTTAGTAGGATTTTTATTTTACAGAATTGTTTTGTTGTTGCGAAGTACGTTAAGTTAACGGCTTCGTTACGTGTCTTTTTACACCCTGTATAAAACACGGCATTCTACCCAATGACATTATAAGTAAAATGGTGTAGATAGGTTACCTAAACAAAATTCGATTTTCAAAAACTACACACTGATACACACGTGAACAATTCGTATGTGTAGAAAAGTGAGATGCCATGATTCAATAATCGCGAGTGAAAAAGAGACAAATATGAAAAAGTGTGGCTAGTTAGCCACATTTTAATGTATCACTTGCTGAGCGCTTGTAACCTATCTACACCTTTTTACTTATAATATCATTGATTCTACCCTACTAATGTTAAAAACTGGCTTCAGTCCGCAGCTTTTCCCGTGTGGTGGATAAATAGTAGCCTATATGTTAATTCAGGGTACCAAATCGGTCCAGCCGTTTTGGTGTGAAAGAATAACAGACATACATCCATACATTCTCATAAACTTTCTTAATGGTAATCTAGATTAACATATAGGCTGCTTTTTTATCAACCTATCATGCGGGCGAAGCCGCAGTTGGAAACTAGTTATACATCATTAATTACTGTACTTAAACATCTTATCAGTAATTTTTCATTGAATCGATTGATACGATTCAAATCGATTTTTCAATATATCGACTAAATTCGTTTTTTAATTAGTTCACTATTTCTTTACTAGATGTCGCTAATGTAGCGTTAGGTTTACAATACCGTGACACCAAATGATGTAAGCCCTCCTAAATATTATAGAAACGAAAATCATTACAGGTCTATGAGTGTTTTAATATTATACCAGTAATTGAAAACAAACAAACAAACGCTACGCAGTGCCAATAATAGTAATACATACATAGTAATATGTTATGACATAGTCACTATATTTTATTGTAACGTGTAATATAATATACTAAACATAAAAATATGAGTTTGTCGGTCGGTCCAAACTTAACACAACGGAGTTTGATATTCATCATCGTCATCATCATCAGCGTATAAGTGCCCACTGCTGAGCAAAGGCCTCTTCTCACACGGAGAAGGTTTGAGCATTAACCACCACGCTTGCATAAGGCCGGTTAGCGATTTCAAACTTATAGCTAGAAATTATAAGTCCAGGTTTCCTCACGATGTTTACCTTCACCGTATGTCAGTGGTGACTAAATAATCATAGAAAGTACATATAACTCGGAAATAGTCGCATCGGTACTTGTCAGGTTTCGAACCCTCATAAATGAGAAGACTCCTTGCTTTGTTTAAAATCATTTCAATAGATTCCTATGGAAAAGAACGACCAACAAACTCCATGGTTACTCTCTAAAAAGCCGGCAACGCACTTTTAACATCTCTGGTGTTGTCGGTATCCTTGGACGGCGTCGATTGCTTACCATCAGGTAATCCTTTTACTAGCAAAGTATATTATGTTACACGTTATTTTAAATAAAACAAAATGTAATAATAATGTTATAGAAGTTATATTTGTAACGAAAAATAATAGTATGCGCTTTATCCAAGTTTTGTACGTGGTTCAAAATGGGCGTGGCTTAGTATTTAACTTCAATGTATGGACTTAAAACTGCTATAGATCCTCTGTCCCCGCTCTATTCTCGTGTTGGGCAACATATAGTTGTGTATTTTTGATTATTTCAGAAGTATATAAGGTAATAGATATGCTTACATAAAATAGTAAATGAAAAAAAAACCTCTGTAATAGCGATCCCCAGCTTTGCACGGGTGCAATTCCGATACTAAATGTCTCCACTATTTAATGGATGTTATTATACATATAAACCTTCCTCTTCAATCACTCTGTCTATTAAAAACACCGCACCAAAATCCGTTGCGTAGTTTTATAGATTTAAGCGTACATAGGGATACAGGGACAGAGAAAGCGACTTTGTTTTATACTATGTAGCCTAAATCCAAAATGACATTGTATTAAGCCACGCCCATTTTAGATAGCGTTCCAATAGTATACTGACTTTAAGATAAATTCCTAAATACTGATAATATGTCAGTGGTAGCATTCAAAATATATTTTAAATTATATAGCACAAACAGACAGCAGATCCAAGTACACTAAAATATTAAAATTCAAGACTTTATAGTGTTATGTTAAGGTTGAAAATCGTTTGAAAATGTTTGAGATTACACCGAAATGACAATCTTTAAAGGATTTTCGATCTTATTGTCACACAGCAAGGTTGGAAGTCGATTGTATTTTGGTATACTTTGATCTGCTACCGTGACGATACCACTAATATATTGTTGGAAAAACAGAATCAAAACTCTATGGCATAGGGTTTGTGTAACCTATATAGCTGTCTCTCTCACTCTTGAACGTGTGAAAGGGACAACAGTATAGTCGGTTTTATAATATTTATCTCCTAAACAATGGTACTGAGAAACTATGACAAAAGATGCATTTACTTGTATATAGTAAATATATGATGAGAGAATGAAGCCGGATAGTTCTGCTTACCCCCCACCCTTTCCCCCCCACAGCTATATTACTACATATATATAATATATCCTACTAATATTATAAACGCGAAAGTGTGTAAGTACGGATGTATGTTTGTTACTCTCTCACGTAAACACTACTGAACGGATCTGAATGTAATTTGGCACAGAGATAGATTATAGTCTGGAGTAACATATAAGCTCTGAAATTGCGGGCGAAGCCGCCGGTTGAAGCTAGTAAATATTTCATCCAAGGTATCAGAATTACCGGCTGAATGGTCTATAAAAAATGCTCTTAGGCGTAATTTAGTATAACAATTATATATTACATCTATATATATAGAAACTACAATAAATTCCTATTGTGTTGCCATAG